TCATTTCAGAAACCTTCATGAAAATGATTGATCGGTATTAGGATCAAAAATTACGTCGCGTCTTATTGGGGAAGAAAAATAACTTCATAAACAGGTAGCTGATTTGTCTGATCAATCTGCATTTTTGCGCTTAGCCTGCGCTCTCGTCTCGGGTGTATGTGGTGAACAACCACGTAGCTTTTCACTCAGCATTTACTCGGGTCATAATTTTCCTTTAAAATCCACGTTCTGGAGTTATGCGTCAAACTTCCGAGAACTCTCAGCTTCGGTTCGGTTTTTGCTCTTACCAATTCACTACACAGATCAGGCTTAAAAAGGCAATTCTCAAATGCGCCTATTTGCTATACGTTTCACAAAGAACATGTATTTTTCCATTGTACAGTGCGTTTCGTCATAAGTTGACACCGTTTATTTAAAGAAAAATTGTGAAAGTGACCAACACAAAAGGTGTTGATTGTTAATTTTACTGAAATTTTTTAAATCTGAATTTGAAACAAAAATATGAAACACGGAAATGTGACAATTTGACAAAGTATTTGTTTTTAATGAAACACCCGATATATTTTTAGACATATCAATAGAACTGTTTTCCTGATTTCAAAAATATATATTTTGCATATATTTGTATCGGCCGTTTTTCCCATATTACGCTTCAAAAATTATAAATAGCAGCAAATCTAGAAGCCTTGAAATTCGACAAGGCGCTTCCTCCACCCCATAACGTTCGCCCGGTAGCACTTTTTTTAAATGTAAATGTTGATATCGCGATCGGCCGAGCGGGTCATATCCAGTGGCCTCCAAATAACCCGGACCTAACGCCTCTTGATTCTTTTCTCTGGGGTTATTTAAAGAATATTGTGTACGAAACTCTAGTTAGACGTCTTAAAGTAGTGGATGCAAATAACGAAATTAATATTAATCATAACGAATATATTTTAAATGTTTTCGATAAAACTGAAGTAGATTATTATAGAGCATGACTAGCGTTAAACTGGAGGTCATGTACAAAATCAGTGATTCTGTTTTTATTTATTTATTTGCCTTCAAATTTATAGTAGCAATAAATTCCGGTATGTTGTCTCCATAGTTTTTGAGTCATTTGAGACTACTTTAGTTTGTTGCTATTTAAAATTTTTAGAACATAATACAGAGAAAACGGCTAATACAAATCTAGGCAACATATATATTTCTGAAATCAGGAAAAAAATCCAGTCGACCTGTCTTAAAATGTATAGGGTGTTTCATTTAAAAAAATACTTTATGTCAAGCTTTGACATTTTCGTGTTTTATATTTTTATTTTAAATTCAGATTTAAAAAAATTTAGTAAAATTAAACAACTTTTGTGTAGGTCACTTTCACAATTTCTTTGAAATAAACGATCCAGGGGGGTTTCAACTTATGAGGAAACACCCTATAGGCAAACATTTCCTTCGTTTATGTTTCCAATGTTTAACAGTTTAACAGTAATGCAACCTTTTTCTTCTTAACAACTATTGTTCTCAAGTTTTCAAATTGCATTAAATTGTTGTAATAATATGGATCATGCAGGCATGGGACTTTCTTTCTCTTAACTTCAGTCTGTGAGGTCTCAACATTAAGGCCTTCTTCATATTCAGGTGCCTTTTTCTTGCCAATCATCAAAGCGTCTCGAATTTTTAAAACGGTAGATCTAGAAAATTGACTTAACAATTGGCGTAAATATATAAACTTTAAATCATGAATGGCCATTTGTTCCTTTTCCTATGATTTTGCCTTTAATTATGAACTTTAGTAACTGATCTTCCTATTTATCTATGATTTCTGTGATTCTTTTCAACCAGGGAATCCTTAACACGCCCAGTTCGAAGCTTTCTAACTTTTTAACATCCGCTTTCCTTATCCTCCACGACTCCATGATGTACTAGAGTAATGAGAATACATAACACCTCATAAGTCGGCTTGGAGTGAACTTTCTTACTTTTCTTAAATGTGATTTTTTATTTTCTCTATATTTATCTTAATTTCTATTGCGCTAGATTTAATTGCTGCCGACGATTTGATTGTGAGTGAACAAGGGCTATCCATCTGTAACTATCTGTTAATGACAAAAAACATTATTGCGGCTGTAACTTTTGATCAAAAAGTTGTAGAAGAGAACTTTTTTAATAACAAAAATTTTCGTAATTTGAAGCAAAGATAGTAGTTTTTCCTTTTGAATGCTTAAGTATTCCAATATGCTACCAATTAAACATGGAACAATTTCAAAATAATGCTTAATAACCAAATTGAAATTCGATCTTCAACTGTTAATATCCTCTAGAAATTTTCGAATAAACATTTTTCAATATTTTCCTCGTACTCCCCAAGTGAGCCTCTATCACCCTTTAAAAGGAATGACGCTAATGTTGAATCATCCTGTATTTATAGGGGGTAGTTAAGTTAGCAAAATTATTTACTTGACCTATTTCCCACATAAAAAGTTCAAATCATGTTTGCGATTTAACGAAAGGGTATTGTGTTTAAGCTCAAATCAACTAAAAATTAAAATACAACAAGCAAGTAAATTTAATTTCATTGTTACCATAATCGGATTTCTGACGTCAGACAATGGTTACCGCAATTGCTCCATTCGACCCCCATTTTGTTGCAGCAAAATTACCAACCGTTTCCTCGAAATTGTATACAGCACCATGTAATGACTCGTGAACGCTGAATTACACGAATTTGCTCCTTATTACTGTCCGTAATTCCGACAGCATTGTCGGCCGTATTATAACCCCCCAACTAAAATAGCCGCATAGCTAGTAATCGCTGGGTTAAGATCAGGTAATCTTGGTGGCCATAAGCTAGAGAAATATCTGATTCTAACACAATTTCAACACGAACTTGTAACAACTTGTATTGTAAATAGCAAACGCTTGTTACAATTAGCACTGACTAGTACGAGTACTATTTGGTGGTACTTCGAAAATGTGTGAATGAGGCAATGAAGAAATTAGTTGTGAATCCTCGTCAAACACTGGGGTTTTTGCAAAGATGAGCATATGGGAGGTTTTTATGTGGTTTTGTCTTGCCCACATATTGTGAAGCAAAGCTCTGAGCCTGGTGGAATTTGAAATAACAGTCACTTTCTCCACCGCGGACTCACATCCAGATATAGATCACTTCGACTCTACAGGGTGATTCAAAATTGGCGTCATTCCTCTGAAGGTGTTGACTGGCAGTGTATTAGGAGCACAGAAAAAATAGTAAAACAAATTAGTTGTTAATAAAAACTGAGAAATTTGCAAAAAACTATATTAGAAAAACGGCACAAAATGTTTTTCAAGATAATCTGCCTAATTAACATTACGTAAATACATGTTCCTTCGTAATTATTAAAATTATTAATTATTATTCGTAATTATTTAAAAACCAACATTTCCGGTAACCATGGAATTATACAGAAAGCGACAAGAAGATTGACAAGGATAAACGGTAAATTCAACAGGAATTGTTGAATGACAGAACCTATTTCGAAACTCATAACCTTAAATTGTTAATTTGTTTACAAATTACAAAAACATACATTTGAGTGTAACTCCAGGCAAGTGCCTGTGTAATCACCTTATTATGCACTCTTTTCGAGCAGCTTCTCGTGTTCGGTTAATTAACTCCTGCTCAATTTATACGGGTGTTCAGTAATCCATTGGTTACATGCGTGGTAGGAATGAAGACGGTATTTATTTGGTGCCTGGGAAGGTATCAGTTGTTGTGCAATGTTCTGGGTGCCCCTGAAAGACTCTTCTGTAATTATGTCCAATAATTGTTCCTCTGTGTCTGGAACCCGAACATCGATTGTCGTCCACTATCTTCGTGGAGTTACTCTTCCAGTGTCTCTAGCCCYTTGTTGCATGAGTTSTTACAGCTTCTGCTATGTTACTGTAGCATTTCCCTTGAACTAATCGCATATCCGCAAATTCGTGAAAGGAAATTCAAAGTAAGTCACAGTTTGACAAATAATTGTTATTATTGACAAGGACTATCCTCCTGTAACTATCTATTAATGACAAAACACATCATTGTCGCTTTGTCTTTTCATCAAAAAATTATAGAAAAGAACATTTTTAATATAAAAAATTGTCGTAATTTGAAGCAAAGATAGTAATTTTTCTTTTTGGATGCTTAAGTATTCCAATTTCCTTCAAATTAAACATAGAACACTTTCAAAATAATGCTTAATGACAACGTTGATATTCGATTTTCAACTGTTAAAATCTTCTAGAAATTATCAAAAAAAAATAAAAATTTCAATATTTTTCTCGTACCTTCCAAGTGAGTCCCTTTAACCCCTGAAAAGGAATGACGCCAATTTTGAATCACCCTGTATAGACTTGACTACACAACACACATGAAACAGATACGGTTTAGGCGTTGAACTGCATAGTTCTGATAATCAAGTGAAACGGATTTCTTGTAATGAACGGGTTATGAGTGTGGCGGCGTTGGAGGAGTCGCAACATCCTCATTAAATACATTCAATCGACGATAATGTAACTATTTTTAAACAATTTCTCTGAAACAATATTATAAAACCACCCACACGTTGTTAAAAGTTTCCATTAATTTTAGACCGGTACATTTTTTAATTACCGCCCTGCAATAATATGCGAAAGCAGCAATCCGAAGCGAGCGGCAGGTAACTGTATTTTTAAAATGAAGTTAAATCAATCTTGCTCAGAGTGCAATTTGCATCCAGTCGCAGCCCACAGAGCTAACCGATTCAATAAATGCAAAAAGTGGAATAATTTTCCATCTCATAAGGCGGCATAAAATGCCGTCGAGCGTTCGGCATTACCCATCCGCGTTTGGTGCTTGAGCTTTGAGGCAGGCAGCTGTCATTGAAAACGATCGAGTCTTAACGACGCAGCATCGCTGCTGTTGAGAAAAGTGAGCAAAATTGAAAATAAATTAAAGCGAACCGAGGAAAGAGAAGAGCTAATTCGACTGCACGTGTAAGAAATCCTAATTCGAAACTCACCTGGACCAACTCCCCCAGACTTCCGCCTCCTGCTGTCAGGTTCAGGTAACAAAGAAATGGCACTTCGGGCGGTCGTTTCACCTCCAGTTCATACGTGCGTCCCACGTTGCCATAGTATGAAATATTGCAGGCTGCAAAAGTAAAGGAAACTTTCAGGGAAATGGGAAACGATGCGCTGGAAATGATTTAGCATTCCAAGTTTGCGATTTCTGATTTGAATCCAGTCGTTTACAAAGCTGCAAATAATGTGTGTGTCGTATACATGGCAGTTATGAAACATCCCAAATAATATGCTTATATTAGCAGGAATATTGTATATCGCCTTTTCACCTCATCTATTTATAGAATATTTTGTTAAATCAAATCTCTCAATAGATTAAACATAATTAAATTAATTTTACGCAAATTTATGTGTTATTAATAATTGAAATTTTGTTATTTGATTTTCAGTTTGGCTTCATAGTAGGAGTTTATTAGTAGTTTATTTAGTAGGAGTCTATTAGATCAAATCGCTGAGAAAATAATTTTAGAACTTGGAAACTAATGTGTGCGTCATACAACTGCAAATTATGAAACATCTATTTTCGCTTCAAGTAGAAAATTTTTAAAACCACTAAAATTTCATTTGTTACAAATCTAAATTTTTTCATTAAAAACATGTTTATTATTAGATCAATTTAAACAGGTATTAGAGAAGTGAAACGATTTATTTTAACTTTTAGTCTGCTTACATAGTATGTTCCAAATAATATTCCTTTAAATTCAAATCGTTATCTAAACAGTATTTCCGAATGGTTTTTTCAACAGACAAATTACATCTTTAGTAAGAAAATAAATATATTAAGGGGAGTTACATTTGTATTTTCTAGAAATTAATTCGAAAATAGTCGAAATCCTGGAGATGCTTTTGAGACAAAATATGCATTCATTAAGATTCCAGTTCATCAATTAGAGCCTATTTACTTAAGTTAACGAAATATGGCTAAAAGCTCTAACAAACGTGAACAAAATTGGTTTCTTTCTTAATTCGTCTCTGTATAATTATACTGGAAGTATCCAAGCTACGAATTTGAACGAAAACAGATGACGCATTTCTTGCCTTGCTCATAATAAATTAACACGAAATTTGATTCTAAACCTGAAACAGAAGCAGTTACCCATTCTTGTGTTATTTTGGGATATCGATTCATTTTTGAGACAATAAATTATTAGATTTTTCCCAGTAAGTACTTACCTCAAATACATTTTTTAAATTAATAAATAAAACAACTACAGCAAAAGTTCAAATTGGCGACCCGCTGATTTGAAACTAGCATTGTACCATCTCACTATAGTTTGCTGTATTTGCTTGAAAATACTTGAAGTGTTCTGAATAGGTCTGTTCAGACAAGATTTGAAAAATTTTTGATATCCTTATTTCTCACTTGGAAACGAAACATTTTCAGACTCACGTTCGTAAAAACGTTTTTATTTATTTTGTTGAACAAAGTCTCCGCTAGGCTTTTCTCTAAAACACTATTCAAAAAGGTGAGAAATGCTGGTTTTAATATTTATTTTTTTTAGAGCAACGAAAATAATGTATGTCGTATAATCGACAATTATGAAACTGTTGTAACAAATCGTTACTATTAGTATGCTTTCCGCTTTTCATAACAGCATCAATGTCGTAATGTTTTATTGTCAATTGATACAGTCCAATTTTCATTTTAAATTATTTTGATTGAAATTGCTTTTGAAGCAAAGTTAAAAACCGATATTGTTTCGCCCAGCCAATAAAATGTTTTATTAGGATTTCTAATGGGTTTAATTTACAATTTGAACCTATTCTCATTTTCGTTTAACTTGAAATTTAATTCGTTATAAATCGGAAAACGGTCCATTTGCGAATTTAATTAAGGTATCGATAGCACCTTGAGAAGAACTTCATAAAACAGAGTGAGAAATACTTATAAAAAGACAAAAGTAAATTGTTACCCTGGATAACAGTTGCCTATTTTTATTATTTATTAAACAGCAAAGGATATTTTACTCTTCTTAAGGAAAACTTGGATTTGCTGTCTAAGATAAATTATTATCTTTTTCGAATATTGAGTCTTACCAAAGCTTAAAGTATTTTGGTTTTTCTTGGAGTTTTCAGAGACAACTTAACAACTTCTGAGCTATCTAATTGTTCAGAAACCGTTGCCACTTCGTTAAATAATTTTAATTGATTTTAATTTCAATCTGATTTTTTGTTTTCATTTCACGCAGTAAAAATTGAAAACTTGCTGCATTTGTTAAAACATTTTTCGGACCGCATAGAAACCGTGTTTTTGGCAGGTCTTCAGGGCTTGTTAATTTTATCAACTTAAACAATATATTTAAAATGTTTGAGCTTTACACAAAAAACGCATTAGTAACGTGCGTTTTTGTAAATTTTATTACGAGAGTTTTTATCATTTGTTTGTTAAAAAGCTGAAAATATAATTTTAGTCGTGAAAAAAAATTACAAAATTTCGGGTTTAAACTGAAAATTAAGTTGAAAATTGGTCACAAATTTTATAGCCAAAGACTAGGTAACTAGTTTCAGCGAACTTTAATTCTAGGGAATTTTTTACCAACTGTTACTGAAAACGAAGTGCACAAAAATAAGCTTGTTATCGAGCGGTTAATTTACTACTTATAATTTATTTGGTCAAGGAAATCTTACAAATTGTATAAATTTTAGTTCAGTCATTAAATGGTGTAACTATACCTGTTATAAACTATTGGTTTGTATTATTTTAAGCCTTGTAATATTTTAGAAATTTATGAATTATGTGTATTTTCATATCTGAAATGTCTCCCTATTCTTAATTTTTTTACTTAAAACTTGTGCTTTTCTCATAAAGAAATTAAAAAATTTCAAGCAGTTTCAATATATTTTAATGGAGAGTTATAGTTGAAGAAACAACAATATTCCCTGAACAACATTTTTATTTTAAGTTGAACTAAGTGAGCGTAGACACGAATTTAATTATTCTCATATGAAAACATTTTCCTGCCATTATCTGATTTTAATTGTATAATATGGGACAAATCGGTCATTTGAAAAATAATTTTGAAAAACGGGCACCAAGAGGCAATTAACAAGTTTCATTGAAACTTTTCTAGTCGACACTTTCAGCAATTTTTTTATTACTTTGTTGAAATAAAAGTGTAAGTTATAGTGATTTCTGTGCATTGTGGTGATGAAGCGTAGTTAGAGTATCCTGAATAGTTTAGCACAACAACATCATTAGGCTTAAATCCAATTTTGGAGAAATTTGGATCGAATTTTTCTGATTTATATCAAATGCTTTTGTAGACTCCGTTTACTGCTCGCTTTTGTTGTGATTTTTTACAGCTGCGTTGATATAAACTAATTTATAATTTGGTCGATAGTGATTGCTGAGTTTTCTGTATATGTGAATCTTTGCCTCTTTGTTTAAACAAAAATTTGATTTATTTTGCAAATAAATGTTCGTGAGGGGTTTCGTTACCAAGACCCAAGCTTTATTGTTCTTACTGACAAATTTGACTAAAATCTATAATCCAACCGATGCAATATTTATCGGCTTGAAAATAGTTTAATAAACAAAATAAAGTCTCTTAAATTGAAGTCATTATTGTGGAAAAATAGAGGCAAAGTAAAGAAGGTTGAATCAACTGTTAATCTATTCTGGAAAACTTTTCATTCCAAGTCCTCAAAGCCGTAATGTAATAAACGCACAAGTCTAGACATTTGAATTTTAAAATATCCATCAAGCTATTCTTATTTTAGCCATGTTCACCAGTCATAAAAGTCATAAAATACAATGATGACAACCTTGTGCTGGCTATTACTCACCCATAGAAATGCATTTCAATGTAAATAAAAGAATAAAGAGAAACGTATTTTTCATCGGGCCTGTTTTCTATCATGTAATATTTGTGACTCCTTTCAAGCTGCTAAGGATAAGTTGACGCATAAAATATGAGAGTTATATGGCAGGCAATGAATACCTACGGAAACTTTTATATCCAGCTCTAGAAGGACAAAACGAGCATTGCAGGAAGATAATAAATTTGCAGACGAGTTTAACTGGAACCTACTACAGTTTAAAAACAAACATGTTTTCTTGATGCAAAGACCAAGTTCCTGCTGAAAAGCTATTTTGAAATGTATGGCTAAATTCGATGTAAATAGAGAGTGTTTCAAAATTAAAGTGAACACAAAAATTTTCTTCAGCAAAATATGATAAGACGACCATGAACAGGAAGGAGCCTCAAGTGCTTCTTAATTGAATGTTCTATTAATCGCTTTAAAGCTATTGAGCTCATTTGAATGAAATACCGACGGTTTATTACAACATTAACTGTAAATCTACGAAATGTTTTAAACTTGAAGTAGAAATATCAAGCGTATTTAACGAGCATTGTTGCCTTTTGGCAAAACCGGGTATAATCGTGTAGTGTTTCTTGTAGTATTAGTTTTTCGGAAATTTTTGTCCGAAGATAACTGTTAGTGTGTATAATGTAGTCTTGAAAACAAAATTGCAATACCATACTTTGGCACGTGAGCCACTTTAGATATATCCGTAAATTTCCTGTGTCTATGAGCCAAAAATTCGTAAGCAACAAAATCGACGCGTGCTCGAAAAAATATTCGGACACCTCGATTTATAATTTTAATTGTCAATTATCTCAAGATATGCTCATATGGAATTTTCCAAAAACAGTTAAAGACTGATAAGTACAAGAAATATGTTAATAAATTTAAAACAAATCTTAAAACTGACTGTATATGGAGCGTTTCATTTTAAATCTGAAAAATGCTAATGGTCACTGTTATAAAAAATACTTTGCATAAAAAATTACGGCTAAAAAAAAATGCTAATCGATGTGTCCAAGAATTTTTTCGAACACTCCATCTCTTATTTTTAATCAAACTTATTAAATCTAGCTGATAAACATTGTATATGTTTTGCTTATTTTTCATTGCGACACTTGAGCAGAGAACATAAACTGCAATTTATAATTAATGAGGAAGTGTTTAACTAAACATTGGATTTCTCTGATAATTTATCTGAGAAGTCGGCAAAATGATACTTTATTCATAGAAAAACATGCCTAGTGTTTGTTAGATGCACTC